GATGAACTGTTTATGAATGTATACAGCTATAGATAGTTTTATTTTCTGTATTTTTGGTTTAGGTTAAGTATATGTACATAGTAATTATAAGCTTGACACTATTTATTGTACGTTTTGTACATAATATAAATAAAGATAATTTGAATTTGAATTTGAATTTGAAGCGCCGTTAATGTGTGGAAACCTTTTTTGTAAGCTATTTGTGACGATGATTAAAAAATGTAAGTTTCCCAGAACTATACAACACTGATTCACGGTCTTTTCCCAAGTTATCAAAACTCAAGAAGAACCATTGAACTTGCAATTAATTAAACCAGGCACAACGTTATTAATCTCACTTGGTTTAGATGTGTTTATAAAACTTGATCGGAAATAGTTGCGGTATTTGTAAACAGTATTTAATGTAAACATATCAGTGACAGCTGCTAGAAGTGAGAGCTAATCCAAACAGCTGATCATTATTTCATAAAATGTAATAGTAAACATTGGGAGAAAATTTGATAAAAATCGAAGAAAATTGGGGTTTTGATGGTTCGTTATTTTGCCTTTAACGAAGAGAGGCCATGTTTTTATAGCCAAAGACACTCTCACCAATCCAGTAAATACAGAAAAATGATTAGAACCTTGATCGGTACTCTAGTTTTCTAGGAGTAGGCCGCGTAAAATGACATTTTGGCGTCACAGATGGAATGACAGAATGGACAAACAGACAAACAGACAGACAGAAATTGAGATAAGACTCGTTTCGGCTTTCTTAGGCTATGAAACGTAAAAATAACCAAAAACTGCATGATTCTAAGAAATGTACAGACAAAACTGTAATTTTATTTATATAGATTTACTTAAGGAATTGCCTCCAGCACAGCCAGTGACTTGGACAAATAACTCGTTGATTACAAAAAAAGTGTTCCAATGTAATCCACTTCATAAAGACGAATTGGCTAAATTAATTGATTCCCCGGAAAATAAAAACTTACAGATATGATGAGGTGCCAATAAAAGTTATAACATTTTAAAAAATCCCATTGATCTTTATTACACCTGATTAATTCATCCTTCATTTCTGGCATCTTCCCGGACAAATTAAAGATTTCTAAAATCATTCCAATTTACAAAAAAGGGGAAGAACTTAATGTCGAAAATTATCGTCTAGTTTCTATTCTCCCTTCAATCTCAAAAGTTTTTGAAAAAGCCATGCATGGTAGATTCGTGTCATTTTTAGAACAAAATAGTCTTTTAGATGACAAACAACACGGTTTTTGTAAAGAGAAATCTGTCACCACAGCTCTGATGAATTTTACTGAATCGATTAATTATAGAATCAATAGTCAAATAAGAAAGTCTTGCTGATATTTTCATGGACCTTTCTAAAGCATTTGATAGTATTTCACATGAAAGGCTGCTACAGAAATTACATTATCTTGGAATTCAAAAAACTCCTTTACAGTGGTTGAGGTCATATCTCACCAACAGGCAGCAGTTTACAGAAATCAGTCATATAAACAACACTCAAATTCCATTATCAACACAAAAAATAAAGCATGGCGTCCCCCAAGGGTCTATTCTTGGACCTTTACTCTTTATTTGCTATGTTAAGAATATGCCAAACTGTCTTTGTAAAACAAAATATATAATACTAAACTCGTTCAGTATGCTGATGATTCTAATCTTATTGTATCTTATTTGCTGGGACGGGAACAATGTCAACCAGTACAGTTTGTACGACAGGCCTGATCGTTTTTGTAAATTTTATTCGTATTGTTCGTATACCCCCCCTTCCCTTTAGGGAAGTAGCTATTACCGTAGGTGGCACGGTAAGACCTAGACCCGGGACCAATTTACTTTTTCATTTTGATGTCCCCAGAGGCCAAAAACACCATTCGTTCAAATTTTTATATATGTATATATATATATATATATATTATATATATATATATATATATATATTAAATATAGACTTATATATATATATATTATATACAGGGTTAGTAAAAAGTGTGGAGACCCCCTGCTATTTTTTTAACGGCTCATGCTAGCAAAACTAAACTCGGCACACCTTTATGGCATGTTATGAAGTACTTTTTGGGCATAACCGCCACTTGGTGTACATCCCCAAAATGGGGGATTTTGGGGAAACTCAAAAATTTCAAATACAAAGACCTATCGAGTGACCCCTCATTTTGAAGGTCCTGGTAAAATAAAACCAAAAACGCAAAGTAGAGGTCTTTATCTCAATCCAGTAAAAAATGGCAGCCAATTGAAATTCTCAGAAGTTGAATTTAACTTGCAGCTTTCCAAGTCTGGAGACCCCCTGTAAATTTTGTAGTGGCTCATACTAGGAAAACTAAACTCTACACCTTTTTGGCATTTTATGAAGTACTTTTTAAGCCTAATAGCTACTTGCTTACCAAACCCAAAATGGGGGATTTAGGGGGAAACTCAAAATTTTTAAATAATAAGCCCCATCAAGTGACCCCTCATTTTGAAGGTCCTAGTAAAAGAAAACTAACAACGCAAACTAGAGGTTTCTATCTCAATCCAGTAAAAAATGGAAGCTGATTGAAATCTTTAGAAATCGGAAATAACTTGCATATTTATATTCAACTAGCTGTACCCGCGGGCTTTGCCCCGCTTAACTTCGTAAGTATTCGCATGGCTCAATCACGTCCTGGTTGAAGTTCGTTCGCTGCGCTCACTTGTTTTCAGGTTAGCTCGTTCGCTACGCTTACTCGCCTCCAGGTTGATGTTCGTTCGCTACGCTCACTCACCTTTTGGTTGCAAATTAGCTGTTGTCATACATTTAAAAAAGTCATCCCTTTTATTGTTTATAATACAGTACTTAGATAAAGGTTTTTATGTTTTAATATTTAACATTGGAGGATTTAAACGTTGTTGAGTGCAAAGGTGTGCTGCGATTGGGGTTTAATACATTTGGACGTGTTCAAAAGTAAAATAGTTTTCTGTGCTGCACTCTGTAGAAACACTGTGGCACTATTTCAAATCATGACTAATGCTAATACAGAATGTTGTAATAATTCAAACCTACAAAACAGTTGGTGAAACATCTGCTTTTAAATTATATTTATTTGTAAACATTGTAGATCAAAAAGTCTGACATTGGCCCACTTAAAACCCTCTGGGGCAGAGCCCTTTTGACAGATCTGCACCAAACTTCACTCGAACCATCATTGAAAGATGCTTAATAATGCCTGAAAGTTTCATTACAATCTGTCGAGCGGTTTCGGAGTCCATAACGTATATACACACACACACACATACATAGTTCCTCTTTTATAGATATAGATTGGCTGCCATATTTTACTGTGTTAAGATAGAGACCTATAGTTTACGTTGTTAGTTTTCTTTTATTATGACCTTCAAAATGAGGGGTCACTCGATGGGGCTTATCACTTAAAATTGTTGAGTTTCCCCCAAAATCCCCGATTTTGGGTTTAGGAACTTATGAGAATTTCAATTGGCTGCCATTTTGTACTGAACTGAGATAGAGACCTCTAGTTTGCGTTGTTGGTTTTCTTTTACCAGGACCTTCAAAATGAGAAGTCACTAGATGGGTCTTTGTATTTGAAATTTTTGAGTTTCCCCCAAAATCCCCCATTTTGGGGTTGAACACCAAGTGGCGGTTATGCCCAAAAAGTACTTCATAACGTGCCATAATTGTGTGCCGAGTTTAGTTTTTCTAGTATGGGCCGTTAAAAAAATAACAGGGGGTCTCCACACTTTTTACTAACCCTATATATAGACTTATATATATATACGTCCGTGAACGCGATAACTTGAGTATTTTTTGTCCGATTTTGATGAAATTTGGTTTAAAGGTGTAAAGCGGGATAAACTTGAATGAGTTCGCGAACCAGCACGATCAGACCATGGGAACGGGGCTTTACGGGGAGTTTTATGGGGTAAAAATTGGTTTTTCTCACTTTTGACCCTCAAAACACAAAATTTCCCGATTTCTCTTTAGACCTTTTTAAAGAGGTTAAAAAAACAAATAATTTAGTATATAAAAGTATTTTTGTTCGATTATTAGTAACGGAGAAAATTAAAAAAATTGTAAATTTAAAATTCCCATGTTATTCTTATGGAGAATATTGTCAAATGTTGTAGTTTGCTTGTTTATGGATATATTTTGATCAAACTTGGCAAATTTATTTATTTTGTACTAAGCTATCAATATTTTACTCAAAAACACACTTTATTAGTTTCCTTGTATCAGCAAACCTAGGTACTCGTTAAACCTAATGTTATTAAAATATATTTAACTGAAAATCAATTCAGACAAATGGAAATTCGCTTAGTCGGCAGGTTTGCTGCGGCGGGGTTGTTTAGTTTTGTTTTATCTTGGATTTCTGGGTAACTGTACTGTCTTTAAATAGACCATATTAATTTTGGGACAATGAATCATTCCATCACAATCAGAGGCAATGAGAGGTTATAAACGAAAAAATATCTTCTCCTAAGACGTTATGAGTAGGTAGTGATTGTTAGTAACTAAAAAACGGTCGTAGGTAAAGTAGTGTAAGCAACTCGCCTTAAGCTACAGTTAGCCTTTAAGACACTTGTAGATGTTAAAAGCTCTCGCCAAGGTTCGAACCTCTTAAAATTTCCTACTTGTGTCTTAAAGACTATCTTTACACGATGGATATGTAAAATACTAAATTTACATATTTGCTTAACTTATGTTTTAGACCTACATATAACTACATATAAGACCTACATATAACAGGACTATTAAGTAGGGTTTGGAAAATGAAAAAAAATTTAGGGCTGAAATACCTACTTTAAACAACAAACCACTTTTATATCTATTAGCTACACAGTTAAAACCTCAAAGGGGAGACTGTACTGTTTCATGTTCAATGCTCTAACTCGTAAAACAGTCAAAGAACACAAAAATTGCATTTTTTAAGACATAAAAGGTTTAGTCTCCCCCTGAGCAAACTACTGATGACTTAAAAGTAGACAGTTAAAAGATTACTGACCTTCAGTTTCTTGACAAGACTTTCAATCGCCCTCTTGGCAAATCCTTCAGACTCTCCTCCTTGTCTGTGGCACATCAGACTGTGTACTATGCTCAAGCATGCATCTGCTGATGTGGGCGCTCCTGTGTTGATAGTGGCGTTGGATGTGGAGGTTGTGGTACTCGATGGCATGTAAGTGGAGCTGTTTCGGTTTACAATGCCACCATGACAAGAGGTATCAGCCGGCGCGGAGGTAGCAGAGGTCGAAGAGCTAGCAGCAATGTACGTGGAACTCCTGTTCACCAGACTTCCCAAACATCCATCTCCAGACGTCGGAGTACCACTGTTCATAGTCGAAGTCGAAGAACTAGTAGTCAAATAGTTAGTACTTCTGTTAACGATGTTTATACAGGTGTCACCAGAGGTGGGACCTTCACTTTCAATTGTTGAGGTTGATGTGCTAGATGGCATGTACGATGTGCTTCTGTTGACCATACTAAGACAAGCGTCAGCTGGTGCGGCTGTTCCACTGTTCATGCTGGGTGTGACTGTGGCTGTAGTAGTGCTCGGTGTCATATACATAGTACTCATTTCCTGTGCTGTAAAATATCAGTAACGTTTAAAACATGGCTTGTCAATGAAAAATCTACTAGCCAAAACCTAGAGCTAACTACAGCTTTGTTGTATTTTGTCTATTTACCTTAACGTGTGTTAGGCTAGGTATTTTCCAGATTGTAACAAAATCAGTCTAGACAAAACATTGCTTCTTATCAAAAAGAAGGTATCAGATAATGTTTTCATAGAATTGATTTAAGTCTTGTTTCCTCTCATTTTTGTTTCTATAAATCATTTGAAAGTAGTAGATCGGTTGATATCAAAGAAGCAAAATGATCAATATTGTTTTAAATAACTGAAAAACAGGTTGATTTCATAAAAAAACATATGTAAAAACACCAATAACCATACAGCCCTCATTCTAATCAGTGGCTGCAATAAGGCCACAAGGGGGTTCCCAGGTCTAAAATAAAGTAGGCTAAGAAGTAAAAATTTAGGCTAGTTAGGCCTATTGCTCATTGAAAGAAATTTTTATCACAAAATACCAAAAAAATTAAAAGTTCATGAGAATACAAATATTATGTTGTCTGTTATTTTCTGGAAACGTATTTGTAATGATTCATATTTGTCTAGAGTTAAGTAGTGTAAAAAAAATTAAACAAGTTGAAAAATTGTAATTGAATGAAAAATTGAATAAATAAGTTTATGTCACAAAATGTCAACGAGGAAATCACACAGGTCAGTTATATTTATTGCGTTTGCCGGTTTCATTTGTCAATACAGTCCAACCAAAACATCTCAATACGCAATATGACGTTATATGACAGAATTTAGTAACTTCTACAGTAGGCCAGTAACCTTAGAATAACAAGAGCCTAAATAGCATGTGTTACCCAATATAATTTTCAAAATACACTTGGTTTTGTAAAAACCCATAACCCGTAACCACTGTAAATTATTGCAAACCTCGATAAGTCTAACTTACACCAACTTAACTACAGAAGTCTATTTTGATAACCCCAATAAGATACTTGCTGTTGAAATTGTTACTGTAGTGCCTATTGTTGTAAGAAAGACTTAGTAAACCAAAAGTATAGCTTTTAATCATTCAAAATTACAACCATGTTTTAGTTAAGAACAAATACAATATTTACAAACAAATACAATATTTACAAACAAATCAAATAATAAATATTATCAGGTGATAATGTTCACATCACCACATTCTCCCCCACTATTTTTCAAGGTAGGTATAGCATATGTAATCCTTTAGATATGACGGAGTCTTGACATTCTTTGGACGTAGTTCCCCCACAGCCGACTCTGAAGTTGGGGTCTGAGATACCGTTTGTTGAGTTTCATTTTGAACTTCATTGTAGTCAATGTCTGAATTTATATTTTTAACATTCTCTCTCTCTCAGTAGTGTTGTCTTCAGGAGGTAGATCACCAGGAGGTAAGCCAGCGGGTGCAAGATGTCTCAGGGATACTTGTGATTCTGACCCATCTCTTCTTCTGACGAGAGCGTACTGTGGATTTGATTCCAAAAAATGAACTGGCTCCACAAGGTCATCATATTTATTAGATCTTACAAACTTTCTAAGCAGGACAGGACCAGGAGCAGATAGCCAAGATGTTAAGGAGTCTCCATTGGTAGTTCTTCTGCTATGTATAAAGAATCTTTCCTGCGGTGTGCAGTTTGTCGCAGTGCATAAAAGAGATCTGACTGAGTGAAGAGCCTCCTGTAATACTTCTTCCCATGCAGCAACTGGCAGGTTGTGGGTTTTAAAAGCTAGTAGGATGGTTCGCCATATTGTTCCATTAAAACGTTCAACCTGAGAGTTCCCTCTAGGGTTAAAAGGTGTCGTATGACTTGTAGCTACTCCATACTTGTGAAGAAAGTCCGTCAGCTCACGTGACATAAAAGATTAACCTCTATCTGAATGTACAAAGGACGGGGCTCCAAACATAAAAAATAGATCTGAAAAACATTTGATAACTGTTGCTGAACTAATGTCCTTACAGGGGTAAGCAAATACAAAACGAGAATACTCATCCACCATGGTTAAAAGGTTGTTGATGGAAGAGGGCCCTTAAAGTCAATATTTAGACGTTCGAAGGGAGTAGTTGCCTTTATCAATTTTTCTTGGAATTGGTGAAATCTTGGCTTCACTTCTGCACATGTTTGACAAGCTGATGTCATCCTTTTTACATCATCCAGAGTGTAGTTTAGATTTTTAGTTCTAATCCAATGAAACATTCGAGTGAATCCCGGATGGCAGAGAGATTTGTGTAATTCAAACAACTTAGCATTGTCCCAGCGAACCGCACATGCCCGAGAGAGTGTATCTGCTTTTACATTCTCCCTGCCAGGTCGGTACACTATTTCATATTGATAAGGTGTTAGCTCTAGTCGCCATCTCATAACTTTGTCGTTCTTGATTTTGCTTGTATGCCTCTTGTCAAAAATAAATGATAAAGCTTGCTGATCTGTGTATAATCTGAAGTCTCTTCCGATAAGAAATGGTTTCCATTTTCGAAGGGCTTCGACAATGGCAACGGCTTCTTTTTCAACAGCTGAATACAGCTTCTCAGATTTGTTTCGAGTCCGTGAGAAAAAAGCAATTGGCCGATTATCATGACTCAAAGTTGCTGCCACGGCTATGTCAGATGCGTCAGTCTCCACTACCAGTGGCTCTTGCCCATTCCTAGGAGTAATTACTGAGTTTGCAATGTCAAGTTTGAGGGCTTCAAAATCTGCAACCGCTTCCTGTGACAAAGGAAAAGAATTGACTTGTGTCAGGTTTCTTATTTTATCAGAAAACCGATGTATCCATTTTGAATAGTGAGCGATAAATCCTAGGACTCGCTTTAGTGTCATTGGTCTTTGGGCACAGGAAGTGACAGTAGAGATTCTAGCCGATCTGGATCAGGGCGAATAGTGTTATGGGAAACTAAATGTCCCAACAAGGTTATTGAAGACTGGTTGAACTTGCTCTTTTCGTTGTTGATTACAAGTCCATACTTAATAACTTACAGCATCTAAAAATGTTCTTAGATTCTCATCATGATCCTTTTGATCCTTTCCACATACGGTCAAATCATCCAGATAGGCATACACTCCATTCAGTTTTTCTTTTCTAATGATTTGGTCCATGGTCTTTTGAAAACAAGCTACCCCGTTCGTTACACCAAATGGGATTTTTCTGAATTGAAAAAGACGACCAGCGGCCTCAAAAGCGGTGTACTTCTTCTCTTCGTCAGAAATTGGTATTTGATAGTATGCTTGCTTTAGATCAATGGCACTAAAAACCTTGTTCGTCACTATAGTGGATACTAGATCATCTATGTTTGGTAAGGGATAGGCGTCTAAAAGAGTAACTTTGTTTATCGTTTGCAAATAGTCCACACACAGTCGCTTCTTCCCTTTGTCGTTTGTAACAACCAACACTTGTGCACGCCAAGGTAACGAACTAGGTTCAATGATCTCCTCAGTCTGTAGTCTTTCCATTTCTTGTTTTATAAATTGCATGTCTTCTTCTGAGTAACGTCGTGATTTTGTGGCTATCGTTTGCATTCCGTACATAGATTTTGGATAGCTCTCGACTTGAGCTTGAGCCATTTCAAGAGCTCTATGGACTGTTTCACTGCTTCAGCTAGGTCTAAAGTTTTATTTTAAAATAGTCTCTGACGTATGTATGACGAGGCTAAGCCATTGATAAAAGCGTCACGAATGTAGTGATCCCTATATTGAATCGCATCAACAGCTTCAAAAACGCAATCTTGGCTCAAAAGTTTCAGTTCTGACACATATTTGTCAATAGTCTCACATTGTTGCTGTTTTCTAGTCATTACTAAATATCTTGAGAATATTTCATTCTTTTGTTTGAATGTAAATTGAGTTAAGAACTCTCAAAGCGTCTTGGTAAGTTTCAGATTCCTTGATAAATCTATAAGTCTTAAAAGATAATCGATTAGTTAGTAGTTTCAGTTTGCCCTTGTCTTCAACGAATTCTGTCATGGTTAGAAAATCTTCGAATGTTTGTAACCAGTGTGTCCATTCCTCTGAGGCAGTTGGAGATTCCGGGTCAATTTCCAATTTGTCTGGTCTAAGGAATTCCTCCATTGTAATGTAGCACTAACTGAGTTTATCAATGAATGAATAAAATTGTTGTAAGAAAGACTTAGTAAACCAAAAGTATGGCTTTTATTCATTCAAAATTACAACCATGTTTTAGTTAAGAACAAATACAATATTTACAAACAAATCAAATAATAAATATTATCAGGTGATAATGTTCACATCACCACACCTATGCATTAGTGGTACTTTGGTCTTGTTTGTTCGATTGTTTTTAAAGTAGGTAAGCTTTTACAGTATTTTAATCACTAACCATACATTTTTTATGGCAATTCCATCAATTTACTACTTGAACTTAATTTAATGTTTAGTTAAGAAAGTTAGGTTAGTGCCTGAATGTTACTAACAACCTTGAACATAGTTTAGGCCAAAACAATTAATTCCAATGCAAAAATGCAGTATCTTTAAAATTATAATGAGAACTGTTACTGGTGCTAAGGGTGAATCCATTATGACTCATACAATAATCACTTTTTTGTAAACATTTTTAATTTTGATGCAACTGTTATAAAATGTTAACTGTCAATAGAAATGGCATGCAAGCATTAAAACAAAATTTCCCTTCAGAATTTTTTTTGCACCTTTTTTGTTTGTGGGAAACCTGCGTTTTTGCCTAAAATTTTCGTTTACTAGATAGTCATAGTCATATAATTTTTATTCAAAAGTACAACATGTTGCACCAGAATGGCGTTATAAAATTAAATTATAATTAAATTATATGTTAAAACTAACCGTATATAAAAATGCTAGGCTAAATAAAAACACAAAAACTTATAACTTGCACATTTACAACACAGTCAACCAATAAATTCATCTAGGGAATAAACGGGCTTGGATAAAATAAAAGTTTTTTGTAAAATATTATCAGGCAGAAGGTTATAAAACTGAATCCCAGCATATATGAA